CCCCTAGCGGCAGAAGCTCGTACTACATCCGGTTCGCCCTCTATTGACACAGTCTTGAAACTTTCCGATCGCACCTCGTAAATACAGTGTGTCCGTAAAATAATGGGGTAACAATCAGTCATAGTTTTGGAACAAAGCACGATAGAGACATGAAATAACGTCAAAATAAAGAGAAACTCTCCAATTTTCGATACGTAAACAGGTTCTAGCGCAAGCGCATGCGCGCTATGTTACAAGGTCAATAGCTGCCTGAAGCATGTTAGTCGCGGTACAGAGGAAGAAGGTTCAATGTGTTTTGTGGATTGCTAAGTTTGAGTCAGTTACACTTGTTAGGCGTGAATACCGTCGTGTGTTTAATGAAGAACCACCACATGAAAATAACTTTCGCCGTTGGGACAAACAACTCTGAGAAACGGGCAGCCTACTGAAGGAGTCACGTCCAGGACGACCTTCAGTGTCTGACGATACCATTGAAGCTGTGCGAGCAAGTTATCTGCGTAGCCCGAAGAAATCAGTGCGGAAGTGTTCTGTAGAGTTAGGCGTTTCTAAAACAACTGTTCACAACGTTTTAAAGAAACAACTAGGCTTTACTGATTATAAAATTTATCCACAGGACTAAATTAAACGATTCGAATTTGCTACAGACATTCTGGATAGGTTAGATCATGATGGGGAATTTTTAGACAAGTTTCTGTTCAGTGATGAGGCTACGTTTCATGTTTCGGGACGAGTCCATCGGCATAATGTTAGAATATGGGGTAATGGACCTCCATATGTCATTATGGAACATCAACGTGATAACCCGAAAGTTAATGTGTGGTGCGCAATTGGACGAGACAGAGTTATTGTCCCTTTCTTTTTTGCTGAACAAACTGTGACGGGAAAGAACTTCCTGGATATGTTAGAAGGGTATGCAGTGCCCCAAATACGGGAGAATTTCATTCTCCAGTTAGATGGAGCACCTCCACATTTTGCCACATTCGTGCGGGATTACCTAAACAAAACATTTCCTCAGCGATGGGTCGGACGAGGAGGGTGGATAGCCTGGCCTCCATGCTCTCCAGATCTTACCACTATGGATTTTTATTTGTGGGGTTATGTGAAGCAACAAGTGTTTTCTGTCCAAATAATAAATTTGGACCATTTGAAAGAACGGATCACTGAAGCTGTTTCATCTATCACACCGGATGTTCACGGACGTGTATGGTAAGAGCTTGAATATCGTCTTGATGTCTGCAGGGCAACTAAAGGAGCGCATATCGAAATCTACTGAACAGGTTAGATTCTTGGAGAGTTTCTCTTTATTTTGAAGTTTATTTCATATGTCTATCATGCTTTGTTCCAAAACTATGACTGTTTGTTACCCCACCATTATTTTACGGACACACTGTATAGTCACCTCTGCAATTACGTATGTTTCGTTAATGCGAATTTGCTCTAATTAGATCGTTGAATCGGTAAAAGGTGTTTGTGAAATGCAAACTTTTGCATATGCGAGTTTGTTCTTATGCAGTTTCATTCCTGGCGCTTTAAACTTTCAAAGGACTAATTTAACCTCTGCGGAGGTACCGGGGTTATTTTTACTACGCGATTTTCTATAGGTCGGCATCTTATATGGCTGCAACTATCGCATAACAGCAGAGATGACTGTATTTTATTTACGTTATTTCAGAGCTTTAAATGTAATGATATTATTTTACTCGTCAATGTTTGGGTGCTGGGAACGCATGTCATTGACTTCCCATTCATTTACATTATAAAAGAGTTTCAATTTACGCCGATTCCGTTTACGCCGGTTCGTCCAGGAACGCATCCCCAACGTAAATCGAGGGCTACCTGTGTCTGCATTTAATAAAAGTAATATGTTGCCCTTAAACCTTCTGAAAGCTCTACTTAGGAACCTTCAACTTTTTAATTATCCTTCAAGTAGGTTCGTTTAATTGCGACTTCAAATTGTTTGTTATGAATTGTATTTCGGGGAGAAAGAAGCTGTAGTCTGATTTGTTTTGTTTGACCACTGACTGCAGAATGATTACTTGAGTCAGATGATTTTAAATACAGTTTTGGGGATTAACTTACACCCTGCATAATCAGTTTCTACAGTTATAGGAGCATACTAACGAAAGAAAGTTTTCTGAAACTCCAGTCTGATCAAAATTAAGAAGTAAATTAACCATTAATGTCCCAGCAAGAAACTGGCAACAGTGTCCACTGGGAGTCTTAACACTACAGATGTCATCAAATTGAACATCACAGTAATAGGTTGTGTATTTCCCATGTAAGGTGTAGAAAGTAATAATTTTCAACTCGGTATGCTTGTCATTTTACTTTGCCACAGTAAATATAAAACAAGTAATAACAGGATAAGAATTAAGCTACATATTCATACAAGAAGCTGCTTCTGTTCGTAACCCCTTGGATGTAAACTCATACTTATGAGATA